CAGGAATAACTGTGCAGGGCAGCAAGTCACGCCACGGCAGCGGCTGCATGCCCACAGGTCCGGGCTCATTCAAGGCCAGGGAATCCTGTGCTGGATGCAGACTGGCTAATGCCAGCTTCCCTGCCACCTCGTGGCCAGGTGCCGTCACAGCGCCCACCGCCGCAAGGCAGGCAGCTCCAGGGAGCTGGTGTCTGCTGCAGAGCCCGGCCTCATTTACATGGCTGAACAAACTGTTCTCAGTCCTGCTGTGTGCATGTGCCATGCGCCCACACCTATGCTGTAGCTGACCTATTTTCCACACCCACCTTTGGCCAGCCTAACTCGGTCTGTGCTAGAGGCTATTACTCAGGTGCTGCAGTGGTGACGGACTAGTCATGACCTGGCCATTCTTGCTGGGCTGTAGATGCTGGGTGTGGAGCATTATGTATGCGTACACACACACCCCTCTCATTCAGCTCTCCTAAGCATGGCTCTCAAGGCAGGTCCACAGTGCTCAGAGTGCAAGATTAAAAAGATGGAATTTTTAAGACCTGGAAGATAAATGCCTTTCACCGCTGGGAACCTGGGCATAAACCCCCTCAGTGCTGTACACTGTGCTAAGCATGTGCACGGCCGCTGGAGTGGAACGTGCACCCACGTGGCCACGAGACCCAGGCTCGCTGCAAGGCAGCGTGGTGCAGGCTCTGGGCCTGCATACTGCCTGCTCCTGAGGGCTACCCCGTGGGTGTTCCAGTCCCCAGACCAACATTGTGGTGATTAATGAGGATCACTGAGCGGTTGTTATACAAACCAAGAGCAGTTATAAATAGAGCTAGCGCTGTGATTCAGCACATTAGGAAACCTGCAGTCTGTTACTCCCCACCCCCGGCTCTGTTGGGACAGAATCTGCATAGAGATGGTTCTCACTTCAGCTGCATTTCAGCGCTGGGATGCGTCTCTGCAGATTGATGTCTGAGGTGTGCGTGCACATGTGTGTTGCAGCAAGTCTGCATTTCATATGCTATAATTGAGGTTGAGTGTAATGAGAATCAACCCCCTACGCAAGATAAATGGAAATACTTAGCACTAATGGGCATGTGGTATGCTAGAGAGGTTGGCATCCCGGTTCTGTTTCATCCCTGGCTCTACTCCATTGCATCTGGCTCGTGATCCAGGTACCGCTGGATTTCGTGAGACGCAAGACCTGGCTTTAATACCATCTCTGCTTATAGCAGGAGTTTCCCTAGACCCATCTTATGTCACTTTGCCCAGAGCTGCGCGCACACAGCCTATAACTAACACTTTCATACTGTTGCCTCTAAATTAGTAGCAAGTGCTGATTGCCAAGTGTTGCAAGTACAGACTAATAAAACGTGGCCTTTAAAAAAAAATCCTTTGAGGGTGTTATAGAGGAAGAGGGAAATGTGCCCTGAGCACTTACGCTTCATTTCAATTTGGATTTTTATGGAATATTATTTATGGGCGTATGAAACATAATGAAGGAAAGTCATTCCTGCCCCACCACTTCATTCTCAGTAGCCACCTCCGGGATCCAGGAGGGCCTGAATTCTTAGTGACGGCCTAACGCGGAGAGAGAGGCAGCCAAGTCAGAGGCTGCTTTTGTCAGAACATGACAAAATAATCCAAGTACCGCAGCCGGATTGCCTGCAGGGCGAGATGTGCAAGGAGGCAATCATCCTCTCAGCACTGCATCCAGTGGGGCCTTTTATGTAGAAGTATCATTGTGGTGCGGACTCGCGGAGCAGGGTGGCGAGACCTCCAGCCACCCCGGAGGCCGCGGGAAGCATTGCTTGGTGCTCGCTCCTCTCCGTCTTCACGAGGGGACGTTATGTGACCACCTCTTGCGGTGCTGTAAAACGGGGCTCACTTGATCACTTATGAGCCTGAGCTCGCTGTGCTCCTCCAAACAGCACGAGGGTGTGAGCCGCTCTAAGGGGCATTGCAACTTCCAGCAGGAGCAACCAGATCCGAGGGCCCTGAATCTCCACCTGCAGTCACGCTGCAACAGGGCGCTCGTCTTCACATCCTGTCCTAAACTGCCCTGTTGAGCTGCTGCATGTCACTATTCTCTGTCCCACCGTTCGATACCCGTCAAGCACCCGATGTCCTAGAAGAGCCAAACTCTTTTCCATCAACACCCAGCAAGCTGGGCTCCAAATCAAACCCTAAGCCCAACTCCTCCTGCCCCCAGCTGGGAAGGGGGGCTGATCCTAGCCCCACTCTGAAGAGTCGAGCTGCAGCATGCCCTCACCCTACAGCTGCAAGAAATGCCTGCCTTTAGGCAGCAGTCAGAGCACTCTCCTGGGACGGTTCAGAGAAGGGACTTGAAATAAGGCCTCCTGTTTCTCAGGGAGTTGCGCCACCTGCCAGGGTTTACGGTGCGCTGGGGGGGCAGAGCAGGCTGTCTCTCACTGTGCCCCTTGGCATAAAGAACTACAACATAGTTGGAGCAGGGACTTGAACCGGATGCCATCCCCTCCCGTGTGACTGCAGGAGGAGACACCCTCCGGTTCTTGCTGCGGCGTGCGGGGGAACGACTTGCTTAGATGCCTCGCTCCAGAAGAGGGTGGCAAATCCTGAGCACTTGGACACAGACACCTCCTTCTCTCTCCCAAAGGCAAGGGGCACAAAAGAGTGCCTGCAGCTCGTAGGCTCGAATGCTGCAGCGCACCAGAGGCTTTGCCGCATCTTTACCATTTACTAGTTCAAAATCCATCATATTTATCGGCCTCCTTTCTCTTGGCTTGTCTAAGCCCATTCAAAATCTGGATAATTTGACTGACAAAAGGGGCCTAAGAGTCTTTCTGGCTAGACTGACTTCCATAGGGATGAATGGGCTTTTATTTGTTAACTCCACAGGTCATAAATCTTTGTAATGTGCCAGAGACCCCAACAGAACAGAATCGCTCTCCGAGAAAGCACCTCGGTCATTTCAGAGCTTGCGCTGTATCACGGAGCCGAGCTTCCTAGGGCGCTGGCACCCCAGTTAGAGCAGGGTGGCTGGGCTGCCATGCTTCAGGCCCAAGTCCTCGGGAGGAGTGAAAGGAAAGGCGTTAATGACACCGTGTGCCTGTCTGGGGCTTTTCACCCACAGCCCTCAAAGCACCTTCAAATAATGGATGTGTCCATGTTTCCGCTCGCTGAAGTGTGGCCCAAAGCAGCAAAGGGCACATCCCTCAGTGCCGTGGGAGCCCAATTTCCAATTTCCCCGAGTGACTGAGCTGGGGCCAAATTAAGAGCTGGAGTAATGGTGGTGCAAGTCTGCTGAAAGCAACGTTGCAGCGCTAGCAAGCTGGTGAGCTCACCCTGGAGTCCCAGCAGACACGAGAGCCGAGGGCAGACCGCTCCCCCGACCCGTTCCCTTCTCTTTCTGCAAGCCCAGGGGCACAGAGCTAGAAGGTCTTGCCCATGATCTCTGCAGACTGACCCCATCCTCATTAGAGCCACCGTGTTGCTGGCCCAGCTGCGGCCTCCATGGCGGTGTCATGATTATGACCCAAGCCGGGAGCGGGAGGAGGGCTGCAGTTCAGGGGGAGATGCTGAGGCAGAGAGGATGTGGGTTTTTGCAGTGAATCATGCCCTAGGGGGGTGTGGACTTGTTATTTGTTCCCCCTGCCACACACACACACACACAAAATTTGGGAGGAAACACCACAGCTCTCATGCAGCAGAGAAGGTGGCTGTGTAAAAGCCTGCTAACAGGGTCTGTCTGGTAGCCCTCTTGGGTCTGCAGGGGTGCACAGAGGTGATGGGGAGCTCCAGCCCACCCCCTCGCCCTCCCCAGGACAGGGCGCTTCCCCTGCATCCGAGGAAGCCGGCCAAGATACCATGCTGGCTCAGCCTCCCCTGTCTCCACATGAGCTCTGGCCAGGGCAAACTTTCCTGCTCTTTTCATCCCCTCCGAGGAAAGCGCAGCAGGGATGTTGCAGCTTGTGAGCTTTCAGCTGTGTGTTTATCAGCTCCATCCCCTGATGCTATCAGCACAAACAGGCCACCCACAAGAAGGCTTAACAGCTTGGTCTAGACTCCAGCTTTCCCTCCGAGTCGCTGGGCATGCGTGTGTATACGCCAGGGCCGACTGACTGGCTAGCTCCAGGACTGGCTGTCTGGGGGCCTGGGCCGTTTTATTTCCTACACAGCTCACATAACAGCTAAACATTTTTCCTGTGTTTATAGGGTTTGGGGTTTTTTTGTTTTGCCAGTCGCAAAAATTGCTAGAGAAATAAGCTTAGCCCCTCTCCTTTTTGGACAGGAAACAACAGCTTTCAGGGGAGGAAGCCAGGCTAATCTATGAAAGGACCTCTGGATTTCTTATTTAATTTCCACAAGCCCTGGCACGGGAGGTGCCTCCTGCTGCACATTTCATTTCATGGGTGGGGGCAGAGGCTGTCGAGCCCGCCGCGCTGCGCAGTGCTGACGGCCCGACAGAGTAGGAGTTGGCGGGGAAGGGGTCCTGGGCTGGTCATGGGGAACACTGCAATCCTCTTGCCATTCAGAAAAGTCGTCTCTGGGCTTCACCAGGAGCAAGGGCGAGTCTCCAAGCAGCTTTGGGGCCCCTTCGTGCGCATCCATTTAGCAAGCAGCACACCGAAGTCAGGGCAGGTGGGACAGGGGCGCGTAGACCAGCGTGGCCTTTGCAGAGAACACATCGCCCTTGCAGGAGTCGAGCCGCGGGGCACATCTGCTCCATCCCGGGACTGTGCGAGGGAGCTCCAGAGGGAAGCAGGGCCCACCAGCTCTGCGCCTGAAGGGATGCTGTGGAGCCAGCCTTAGGCAGCGCTGCCCGGGCACCAGCAAGCTCCCGGGGTCAGGCGCTGCACGGAGAGCAGCTACGTCACCTCCTCCTGGGGCGGGGGCGAGGGCGGGCGTGCTGCGCTCCCCCACTTACACTTAGCACCATCCCCGGCCAAGCTGCACCCATCTGCCTCAGTCTGTTTTGCAGGGTGGCAAGAAAAGCCCAAATAGTTAAACGCTCCTTCTTTCTTCTTTCCACCGCACAGGCCCGTCGGACCTGAGCCCCTTCCCGGACCCCCGCCAGTTTGACCGCTCCTTCTCCGCGCTGCCTGCCCTCACTGAAGGCAGGTTTTCGGACCCCCGGATGCATTACCCCGGTGCAATGTCGGCTGCCTTCCCCTACACCGCCACACCTTCAGCCACGGGGATTGGTGGCATCAGCATGGCCAGCATGCCCACCACGACCCGCTTCCACCACACCTACCTGCCTCCGCCCTACCCCGGCTCTACCCAGAACCAAAGTGGACCTTTCCAAACCAACCCGTCTCCTTACCATTTGTACTACGGCACCTCGTCCGGATCGTACCAGTTCTCCATGGTGGCAGGGGGCGAGCGCTCACCCACGAGGATGCTCTCCTCTTGCACAAGTGCCTCAGCAGGTAACAACTTAATGAATCCCAACCTGGCCAATCAGAACGATGGAGTGGATGCGGATGGTAGTCATAGTAACTCACCTACGACCATGACGACCACCGGGAGAATGGATGAGTCTGTCTGGAGGCCCTACTAGGCAGCACTAAACAAGACACGTGTAGCTTTAAATCAGTAAAACGCCCATGATTAGATTGCTCCCATCAATAGCAAAAAGAGCAAAACACCACCTAGGATGGGAACAGATAAGCCAAAGCCTCCCAAACCGAAAGCAAGCCAAAATCCAAGCATAGGCAGATACTGAGCAAAGATGGACCTAGCTGCATTTCAAGACAAATGCCCACAAGGTTTGAATGTGTTGCTCTGTGTGGTTCCTTTCAAGTGTGGACTGTACATAGAAGTGTGTGGAAGCAGCTGTGTGTTAACTGCAGAGTCGCATCTCTGTTCAGAATGCGTGTCGATCATCTCATTCATAACCAAAAAATCCCCAAGAAAGGCAACTGTCCTCCTGCACAACAGTAGGTGTTAGAGCTAGGGGAAAAGACCCCAGAAGCCAGTCAGTCGGTCTCCCTCTCATACTCCCTGCACATGCAGGAAGAACAAAAAGTCTTAGTATTGCCATCTTCCCCAACCCTCCTTGGACAAGGGCCTCTGACCACCAGAGAACCCCAGAGCTCTGCCTGAGGGTCACCGAGATGCACGTGTCTCCCGAGACGTGCACCGGAGAGTCCCATTGACAGCAAGACAAGCACACCGGTCTCTCTAGCAGGTGCAGTTGGGGTTCTGCAGAGCGTTGCTAGCGGGTGGGCAGGTATCAGCCATGCGAACAAGTGCTGTGACATGATTTTGAAAGAGGTTGTATTGTAATTGTTGTTTTTTTTTTTTCAAACAGTAACATGGCCGAGCCCGTGCCTGACAGCCCTACTCTGTATGTTTACATGAGATTTTTTTTTTCTTTTTTTTTTTAAATGTGATGCGTTACTCTTGCCTCCTGGCCTAGACATTAAGTTTCTTCCCCTTCCTAGTTAGTCTTCTTGATGATGGTGTCTAAGAAGAATGCATTTGGGACACTCCAGTGTGTGACGTGCACTTACAAATGTACTAGCATCAAAGGGACTCCAAAGCCTTTGGGATGCGTGACAGCCAAGCTCGAGGCTCACCCTCGCCTTCGAGTGGTGTACGTGCAGCTGTGGCAATGCTTCCTATTTATTTCATGGCTCTCCCCCACATTTTCACCCTGAGTGGAGCAATGCATGATGGATTTGTTGTTAATCAAGAGCTGATGGCTGTCAGCTGATACGGAAAGTACTGCCTGAGATTTGTGCAACCCCTCATGTCTAACATACCCATCCTGTGGGGCTTAGCCTAGTGAAACAACATTATATGGCCCTTCTCCCCTCAAAGTGCTTTGCACACTGCAAACGGTGAATTAGGCCACGGTTATCCCCAGTTGGCAGATAGATAAACTGAGGTAGGGATACAGCCAGCAGCATGGAGAGACTAGAAACAGGAGAGGCATCCCTTAGCTGTGTAGCCTTCTCAGGTACATTAGTCATAAGGCGCACACACATTTTTAGGATTATTATAGCCGTGTGTGTATTTAACAAAATGCATGGCTAATGATAAGCAACTGCCTGTCCAGTTAATCAGAGAGCTTCGCAAACTTAGGTTGTTCTCTCTCTCCCCCTCGACATAGGATATTCATGGACTCAGAAAATGAGGGTTGGAAAGGACCCCAGGAGGTCACATCCAGTCCAACCCCCTGCTCAGAGCAGAACCAGCCCCAACTAGATCATCCCAGCCAAGGCTTTGTCTAGCCAGGTCTTCAAAACCTCCAAGGATGGAGAATCCACCACCTCTCTGGGTGACTTGTTCCAGTGCTTCACCACCCTCCTAGTGAGAAAGTTTTTCCTAATAGCCAACCTCAACTTCCCGTATTGCAATTTGAGCCCATTGCTCCTTGTTCTGTCATCTGCCACTGCTGAAAACAGTCCAGCTCCATCCTCTTTGAACCCCCCTGCAGGGAGCTGAAGGCTGCTATTAAGTCTCCTCTCAGTCTTCTCTTCTCCAGACTAAAAAAAACTCAGTGCCCTTAACCTCTCCTCATAAGTCATGTGTCCCAGCCCCCAAACATTTTTGTTGCCCTCCACTGGACTCTCTCCAGTTTGTCTACATCTTTTCTGTAGTGGGGGATAGGGGGGGCAACACGGGACTCCAGATGTGGCCTCACCAGTGCCGAACAGAGGGAAAGAATCACTTTCCTTGACCTATTGGCAACACACCTACCAGTGCAGCCCAGGATGCCATTAGCCTTCTCGGGCACACCGCTGGCTTGTATTCAGCTTCTTGTCTACTGTTTCCCCCAGGTCCTTTTCTGCAGAGCTGCTGCTTAACCAGTCAGTCCTCAGGCTGCAGCAATGCATGGGATTGTTCTGCCCTAAGGAACAACTGGGACCTAACTCAGTGTAATTTCTTCTTCTTCTTTTTTTTTTTTTTTTTTTAAGTCAAAGTGCTCATGAGAGTTAGTTGGTCCTTTTGGTCATGTATATGTGAGTGACAGCAGGTTGAATTTCAGGGAGGGTAGGAAGTCTTAAATCCCTTCATCTCCTTTCAAAATCCCAGGCTAAGCACATGGCTACAGCAGTGATGGTTGACTTGCCAAATCTCAGCTGGTATCTTTTTAGCAATCAATTGACATAAAATGCATAATAATTGCACTACCACTTAAATACTGGATCAAGACATCAAATCTTAAGTACCTGGATTTAGCCGTTAAGCTGCAATGACCACTCTCGAGTTTGAAAGCTGCAAACTCAACTTGCTTTAGCAACAGCGAGCACGTGCCTATTGAGTGACATCTGTCAGCCATATAAACTGGACGATGGCAGCCTGTGTTTTGATGCATTTAAGTTTATCGGACGATATTTCCACTGACTGAAAGCACAAAGAAAATAAGGAATTTTTAATACCATTTTAATTTAAGACTGTTCACGGTGTATAAAAAAAGCAATGGCAACTATGTTCTTTATGACAATGTCGTGTGAAGGTGTAAATACACGCACCTCCATTTTATGCAACTGGTCGCAAGACTGGCCAAAATAATTTGCTTTGCACTATAATTTGCTTTTTTTTTTTTAAAAAAAAATGCACAATCGCTTGTACAGTAAAACCTTTGGCTTACAGAATATTTAACTGTAAAATCTAATTTTTGGTTTTATTTGTTATAATAATATAATTCTTAAATGTGTTGAAGGATCCAATTCTTAATAATGCTTCTTATACGTGTGTGTGTCCAAGGTAAAAGCAACAACAGAATAAGGAGATGAGAACAAAGGTCTTTCTGTACATAAAGGCAGCAAAGTTTATTTGATTTTTTTTTATGGAGTCTTATGATGGACATTAAAAAAATGCTAGTAATACCAAATAATGTGGTTATTTGTGTAATATACCAGCCCTACTTGAAGGTAACTCCCTGTATTTAATATGTAGCCCATCTTTTTACCTGTAGCACTTGTAACGGTGGGGGTCTGCTCTTACTGAAGGCATCGACAAAGTTTCCTCCAGGAATGACTTTGCCCCATTTGACTTCAGTGAAAGCAGAATCAGGCCCCCTTTATCACCCCATCTCATGAATAGGTGAACTTGAGTTTATAAGAAGCCATACCAACATGGTCAGTTCTGCTTTTCTATTATAAATGTTGATGTTCTTATCAAATGTACGTGATTATATTGTCAAACATACATGTAATCATTTTAATGACTTTCCATGTGGAATAATAAATGTACGGCTACAAGTCTAAAAGAGTGCCTTGTGCCTGTTCAGTTTCCTCCCTCCACTCACGAGGCAGAGGAAAAGTTCATGGAAAGGAAAAAGAAAAGGAATCCATCGCAGTGCTGCACCTACAGATCTCCAGGGAGCTTGCAGACGGGAGTCTGTCCCCACAGTCATTTCCACTGGCTTTAGGGCAGCCTCACTGATCTATGCTGGTGGACACCTAGCCCTCTAAGGGATTTAAAGTCTGGACACTCAGTGAGTGAGTGAGTGAGTGAGTTTTCCCTACCTATAGATGGGGAAAACAAGGCAGAGTCTGTGCCTGCTGATTTCCCATTGCAGAGAAGGGGGCTCATCACAGTCCAGCAGCAAACTTCAAACTGCCACCACCACACATGCATGTGAATACATACATACACTTCATTTTAAAAACCTCTTTCAGTGGAACGTGTGCAAAGAACACACGCAGGCCAGGCTGGAGTGAGAGATCCTGGCTTCACACCGCTGTAGCACTGGCAGCACAGCCTTGATTAACCCCCCGGAGAGGAGAATCAGACCCAAGGGAATGGATGTGCTGTGAACTGCAGTGTTGAAACCACCCCTCTCTCTCTCACTCCACTCCAAAAAGACCTCAAAGCAGCATAGGGAGGAGGGAGGCACTGTGCCACCAGTAAGGCAGATTAAGCCACCATTGACACTGAGACACGGGGACTAAACACATGACATTTACATCAGTTTTGTCCAGAGATGGGATCCAGAGAGCACAGACAAGCATCCTTTCTGGGGTAGCTGAGCACCACAGCTTGCCACTTTGAGAGGGGATGGATCAGGATATAACCCATTTGCCTTGAGTCTGGGCTAAGCTACAGACACACAAGAGCTATACTGTGCACTGGTGGAGTTTTACCCTTGGTTTTCCCCAGGGCAATTACACCAGATTCACATGAGCTACACCAAAGTAAGGCTGTCTACTGCGGGTCTGTGCCTTCCTACACCGGCATAGAGGCTGATGACACTGCTTTCACCACGTTGTCTGCCCAGGCCCAGTCAAGGATTGCACCTGAAACAATTTTTTAAGCGACACTAACCACATCCCACCGCCAAGAAAATTCACCGTGGAAATGCCGAGATGTACAATATGACATGAGAGTTCAGGATGTGCCCGCTCCGCAGGCTTGCTTAGCTGAGACCAGTGGTTCTCAACCTTTTTAGACACAAGGTCTCGCTTGGAAAATGCCAGCTCTTGGTTTTTACTTGTTTTTAACTGTTAGCAAAGAACTCAATAACCACCACAGGTTTCTGACACCAAGGAATCCCATTTCAAATCTCTGGTCTTAATCTCATGAATCATATGTGGATGTTTGCACGCCTTACAGTGCAGCACCCTTAAAGGACCTCACTCACTGGCTTAACCCTACCCAAGTTCACTTTCTATCAGCTAGCTCAGGCGCCACCAGCAAGCAAGCTCAGCTCTGCGGCAGTGTCTCTCGAGAAGTGGGGCGTGTTAGTCTGCACTGACAGAAACCACTGCTACGGGCACCTGAACCAGTTTGAAGCTGGCTTAGTAGAATCCTGATTTAACAGACTTGCAGGGCTCTGTATTTTCATAACCCTCCCACGGAAAAAGCTGCTCAGGAAATTCCACTGCACGCTCCCGGTACACCTGCATGGGGCCGCAGTTGCCATCTGGGATACCCCAATGTAAATCCAGAGCTGCTTTCCTAACGTCAAGCTTTATTCCGGACTCACACCAGAACTTGACCTGTTGCTTCATTATCCCTTATACCTCTTTAGTGAAGGCAGGCAGCCTGATCCCTGCTTTACAAGTGGGGAAGGGGAGGCAGAAAGAGACCGGTATAGATCCTAATCAAATCACTGGAAAGACTCCCGTGGCTACCAGTAAAACCTGCATCAGGCTCATGAGTCCAGATCCTCCAACATGCTTGGTGCCTAAGACCCAATTCTGCCTACAAGCCTTTAAGGGTCTGGGCCAGGCTGTACTATCAGATGCAAACCTAGGGCGAACGGAGGTTACACACTTGCCTACAGGCCTCCAAGACTGTGTCTGAGACAACACCTGGGAGGATGCCAGGTGCTGAAGTGCCAAGAATCCTATTTCCCAACAGATCGCTGTAACCACTGCTTCACTCTCCCAGTGAACAAGAGCTAAGGCCAAATCCTCTACAGGGTACCCACCACCCAGAGGATCTGGCCCTAACTCCTTAAGCACTCACTGCTTCCCTCCCGAAGAGCGGAGCACTGTATATAACACAGTTACAGCTGAAAAGCAAAGACACAGACTGCAGCAGCAACTGCAGGACTAAAGGCTCCCAAAGCCCAAAGACATCTGCTGCAAACGATACATTACTGGCAGTACAACGAGGCCCAAAGGCTCGGATGCGAGGACAGTGCTGGGCACTGTACAAACATGTATTCAAAGGTCAGTCCCCGCCCCAGAAAGTTAAGGATCTAGAACAAACCAAGGAGCAAAGCCTTTAAGTGTGTTGACGCTGAGTAATTATTTAGGCGCACCTTTGCAAATTAGGGCAAGGACTTCAGCCTATGGCTGCATTTAGAAAAGAAAAAAAGAAAAACCACAATAAGATGCTGATACGGGTGAGAACTCAGCTTTGCAGCCTCGGCCACCGGAAACGCATTTCAAGTGAAGCCGTAGACAGAACCGCCTTCTTTTCACAGCTGCTGGGAGAGGAAACGCCCCGAGGTGCAGCTAAGACCTGCAGGAACTTTCCATTCCAAATTGATCGGAACTATTCACAGCCTCGTTTCAAGCAGTAACAACAACAACAACTGAAAAAACACACAAAAAACACCCCAGAATGAGAGGCCTTCTTCTGCAAAGTAATGTTTCTTACCCAGAAATAAAGCTAATATCCAAGGGGGAAGTGGGAGGAAAGGCTCCCTGGGGAAGGATCTTTGCAAAGCTGAGCCTGTCGCTCTTAACCCTGGAATAGGCTTTGTGCAGCTGCAGTAGATGATACCAACAGTCCCCGAGGCGTTACCTG